ATGAAGTAGTCAAGGTGATGATAAACAAGGATCTGAATCCAAGACTACTCTACCCAGCAAGGCTATCATTCAAAATAGAAAGTCAAATAAAGAGCTTCCCAGAGAAAAAAAGGCTAAGGGAATACATTAGCACCAATCCAGCACTGCAAGAAATGTTAAAAGGACTGTTGTAATTAGCAGGAGAAATGGGAAGAAAAATAGAACCACACTAAACAAAAATGTCAATAAATAAGTACTTATCAATCATCACTTTAAAAGTAAATGAATTGAATGCCCCCATAAAAAGACACAGAGTAGCTGATTGGATAAGAAAGCATGACTCATCTATATGATGCTTACAAGAGACCCACTTCACAATAAAAGACTCACATAGGTTAAAAGTGAAGGGATGGAAAAAAATTTTCCAAGCAAATTGAAAGCAAAAAAACGCTGGGATAGCAATACTCATATCTGACAAAATAGATTTCAAAATGAAGGCCATAACCAGGGACAAAGAGGGCCACTACATAATATTGAAAGGATCTATCCAACAGGAAGATATAACCTTGATAAACATATATGCACCCAATATAGGAGCACCAAAATATATCAAAAATCTTCTGGAGGACTTCCAAGGAGTAATCGACAGCAATACAATCACAGCAGGGAACTTCAGCACCCCATTGACAGCACTGGATAGATCCTCTTGACAACAAATTAGCAAGGAAACAGAGACTCTAAATGAAGCACTAGACCAAATGGATTTCATAGATATCTACAGAGAATTACACCCCAAAACTACAGAATACATATTCTTCTCAAGTGCACACGGGACATTCTCAAAGACTGACCACATGATAGGACACAAACTACATCTCTGCAAGTTCAAGAAGATTGAAATCATATCAAGCATCTTCTCAGATCACAATGGCATGAAACTAGAAATCAATTGCAACAAGAACATGCAAAGACATTTCAACACATGGAAGCTAAAAAGCATGTTAGTAAACAATGAATGTGTTACCAGGGAGATCAAGGAAGAAATCAAAAACTTCCTGGAAACCAATGACAATGAAGACACAACAACACAAAATCTATGGGATGCAGCGAAAGCAGTTCTGAGAGGGAAGTTCATAGCACTACAGGCCTACCTCATATAACAAGAAAATTTTCTAATTCCTTTTTTAACCTCAAAACTTAAAGAATTAGAAAGCAAAGAAAAACAAGACCTCCAGAGCAAGTAGAAGGAAGGAAATAGTAAAGATCAGAGCAAAAATAAATGACATAGAGATCAAAAACACAATTCAAATGTTTAATGAAACAAAGAGTTGGTTTTTCGAAAAGATAAACAAGATTGACAGACCCTTATCTAGACTCACCAAGAAACAGAGAGAGAACCCAAATACACAAAATCAGAACTGAAAGAGGAGAAGTAACAACCAACACCACAGAGATACAAAAGATCGTTAACAGCTACTATGAACAACTATATGGCAAGTAATCGACAATCTAAGCGAAATGGACAAATTTCTAGAAACACACAGTCTTCTAAAACTGGACTGGGAAGAGATAGAAAACTAGAAGAGACCAATAACAGCTAAGGGAATTGAAGAGGTAATCAAGACTCTCCCAGCAAACAAGAGCCCAGGCCTACCTAGATGGCTTCACGGAGGAGTTTTACCGAACATTCAAAAAAGAACTAACACCCATTCTCCACAAACTATTTCAAAAAATTCAAGAAGAAGGAAGACTCCCAAACACGTTTTATGAGGCCAACATAATTCTAATTCCAAAACCTGAAAAAGACATTACAAAGAAAGAAAACTACAGGCCAATATTTCTAATGAACATAGACGCCAAAATCCTGAACAAAATACTAGTAAATCGGATCCAGCACTGCATCAAAAAAATTACTCACTATGAACAAGTGGGATTCATTCCAGGGATGCAAGGCTGGTACAATACTCACAAATCAATAAATGTGATACACCACATAAACAAAAAGAAGAATAAAAACTACATGATCATATCAATAGATGCTAAAAAATCATTCGACAAATCCAGCATTCATTTCTGGTAAAAACGCTCAGCAATGTAGGAATAGAAGGATCATATCTCGACATAATAAAAGCCATATATGAAAGACCTACAGCCAACATCATACTCAATGGGCAAAAACTAAAAACCTTTTCATTAAGAACAGGAACAAGACAGGGATGTCCACTGTCGCTACTCTTATTTAACATAGTACTGGAAGTCTTAGCCACAGCAATCAGACAGGAGGAAAAAATAAAAGGAATCCAAATTGGAAAGAAGGCAGTGAAACTGTCATTATTTGTAGATGACATGATATTATACATAGAAACCCTAAATACCCCATCAAAAATCTACTAGACTTAATAAATGAATTTGGAAAAGTAGTAGGATACAAAATTAACATCAAGAAATTGACGGCATTCTTATACACCAATGATTAACTCACAGAAAGAGAAACTGAAAAAAACAATCCCATTTACCTTCGCGGCAAAAAAATTAAGATACCTAGGAATAAACTTAACCAAAGATGTAAAGGACCTATTTGCAGAAAACTACAGGCCATTGAAAAAAGAAATAGAGGAAGATATAAAAAACTGAAAGCATATACCTTGTTCATGGATTGGAAGAATTAACATCATTAAAATGTCCATACTACCCAAAGCAATCTATAGATTCAATGCAATCCGTATCAAAATACCAACGACATATTTCACAGAAGTAGATCAAATACTTCAAAAGTTCATATGGAACCAAAAAAGTCCTTGAATAGCCACAGCAATTTTGAAAAAGAAGAACAAAGTAGGTGCTATCACAATACCAAATATCAGGTTATACTACAAAGTGACTGTAATCAAAACAGCCTGGTACTCGCACAAGAACAGGCATATAGACCAGTGGAACAGAACTGAAAACCCAGAAATGGACCCAAGGCAATATGCTCAATTAATATTTGACAAAGGGGGCAAGAGCATACAGTGGAGAAAAGACAACCTGTTTAATAAACGGTGTTGGGAAAATTGGACAGCTACATGCAAAATAAATGAAACTAGACCATCAACTTACACCATACACAAAAATAAACTCAAAATGGATAAAAGACTTAAATGAGACCCGTGACTCCATAAAAATTCTAGTAGAAAAATGTAGGCAACAAAATTTCGGACATCATGTATTTTCCATCAGTGAAAATTTTGCCATCAGAATTACATCACCGAAGGCAACAGAAACAAAGGAAAAAATGAACACATGGGACTAAATCAAACTCAAAAGCTCTGCACAGCAAAAACAAAAAAACAAATCATTAAAATGGAAAGGCAACCCACTGTATGGGAGAACATCATTGCCAGTGATATATCAGATAAGGGGTTAATTTCCAACATATATAGAGTGCTCATACAACTCAACAATAGGTAGACAAAGAACCCAATTAAAAAATGGGCAGAGGAGCTGAATAGACACCTCTCCAAACAGGACATACAAGTGGCCACGACACATATGAAGAAATGCTCAACATCACTAATCATCAGAGAGATGCAAATTAAAACAATAAGGTATCACCTCACACCTGTCAGAATGGCCGCCATCAACAAATCATCAAACAACAAGTGTTGGCGAAGGTGTGGAGAAAAGGGGACTCTTATACATTGCTGCCAGGAATGCAGACTGGTGCAGCCACTAAGGAAAACAATATGGTGTTACCTCAAAAAATTAAAAGTTGAACTTCCATTTGACCCAGTGATCCCGCTTCTAGGAATATATTCTCAGAAGCCTGGAACACCACAATCAGGAAGAATATATATACCCCCATGTTCATAGCAACACTATTTACAATAGCTATGATCTGGAAACAGCCAAGTGTCCATCAGTAGACGAATAGATAAGAAAGCTGTGGTACATATACACAATGGAGTACTAGCAGCTGTAAGAAAGAAAGATCTCTTATCCTTTGAGATGACATGGAGGGACCTGGAAAGTATTATCCTACGTGAAATGAGCCAAGCAGAAAAAGACAAATACCACATGATCTCACTTATATACGGAATATAATTAACATATTATATGTTATGAAGAATATGGTAGACCCAGAAACATGGAAGTAGGGCACAGACTGACATCCCTCAGAAGAGGGGGTGGGTGGGTGGGAAGAGATAAACCACAGAACTTATATGCATGTATGCATGACCATTGGATGTGGACAACAAAGCCAGCGATGGGGCAGGGGTAGGGTGGGGAAGGGGGTGCCAATGGGGTAAAAAAGGAGAATCATCTGTAACAAAAAAGTAAATTAATTAATTTAAAAAAATAAAAAAAGAAAGTTACTCCTTACTGTGTTATTAAATTGATCATTTCATAGCAGACTTAGACTTTGTTTTGCTATCCATTCTTTGGGGTAATTTTTAGATCTTATGCATTTGTTTAGCTTGGAAATGAAGGTGAAAGAGGTTATGCTATGTTTCCCTGAAAAATGGAAAGCAAAAAGCAATTGCCAAGGCCCTGGCTATTGTGGGTCATTGGTTAGATCGTTGGCCCATGCACCAAATGGTTGTGGGTTCGAGTCTCACTTAAGAGGATGTACTTGGGATGCAGGTTTGATCACACAGGCAGGAGGCAACCAATAAATGTGTCTCTCTCACATCAATGTCTCTCTCTCCCTCTCTCTCTCTTTTTCCCCCCTTCTTCCTCTCCTCCCTCTCCCTCCATCTCTTCCACTCCCTCAAAAAGCAGTGGAATAAATATCCTCTGGTGGGGATTATCAACAACAACAAAGTAATTAGTATCTTAAAATGCAGCCCTGTATTTTAATAAATTCCATGTATATTACAAGAGGAAATTTGTTTGGCGGTATACTGCTTGCCCTGGATGAGGTGAATTAATGATTTTACACCATTGTACTCTTTTTGTTTATTCATTTTTAAAAGATTTGTTTAGTATAGTATGTTTCTTGATGAAAAAACGTCTTAAAATGTCCATTTCTATTTTTATAGTATGTGCAGAAGCTTATAATCCTGATGAAGAAGATGATGATGCAGAATCCAGGGTATGTCATTTATTGAATAAATTAACTTTAAATTACTTTTTATTGGGTAAGGAAAATAATAATAGAAAAGATGTTAATAAGCAGGAGGCATAATGGAATTATTTTGACTGTTTCTTTTCCAAGTTATATCTCTGATAGCTTACTTCTTCTGGTTTTGTAGAGTTACTTTTATCCAAAGACTCTCTCTTTGGCTAAAGGAAAGGTGACTCTCTCTCTCTCTCTCTCTCCCTCTCTCTCTATATATATATATATTTGTGTGTGTGTGTGTGTGGTACGTGCCCCTAGCAGGAACCGAACCCAGGACTCTCTGGTCCGCAGGCCGACGCTCAACCGCTGAGCCAAAGTGGGCAGGGCAGGAAAGGTGACTATAAAAACTTAACTGCAGTTGTGGTTTTATTTCTTTTGCAAAAATACAGCTTTCTCATAGTGATCATTTATCTTCTTAGTATTTTTGTAAAGAAAAATACTGGGAAGAGCCTTCTATTTCTACTAATTTATAACAACAGAAGCCTACTCTGAAACAAAAAAATCACATTAAACCCAAAGCAATCTATAGATACAACACAATTCCTATCAAGATACCAGTGGTGTATTTCACAGAACTAGAACAAATATTCCACAAATTTATGTGGAACCACAAAAGACCCAGAATTGCCACAGTAATCTTGAGAAAGAAGAACAAAGTTGAAGGAATCACCCTGATATAAAACTGTACTACAAGGCCATAATAATCAAAACCGCATGATACTGGCATAAAAACAGACATATAGATCAATGGAAAAGAATAAAAGATCTCAGAAATAAACACACATCTTTTTACACATTAATATTTGACAAAGGAGGCAAGAACATACAGTGAGGTAAAGACAGTCTATTCAATAAATGGTGTTGGGAAAGTTGGACATATACATGCAAAAAAAAACTAGACCACCTTACACAAGAATAAACTCAAAATGGATTAAAGACTTAAATGTTAGATCTTCCCAGGCCAGTGTGGCTCAGTTGTTTATGCATCATCCCATGCACCAAAAGACTACCAGTTCAATTTCAGTCAGGGCACATGTCCAGGTTGCATGTTCGATCCCCCGGGGCAGCAGTGGTCAGGGAGTAGGGAGCAACCGATTGATGTTTCACTATCACATCGATCTCTCTTTCTCTCTTTCTTCCTCCCTCCCTCACCCTTCCTGTCTCTAAATATCAATTTTTTTTAATCTTTGGGAAAAAACATAAAAATTTTAGAAGAAATAATAGGCAGTAACATCCTCAGACATTTCTCACAGCAATATTTTTTCTGATATATCTCCTCAGGCAAGGGAAACAAAAGAAAAAAATAAATGGGACCACATCAAACTAAAAAGTTTTTGTGCAGCAAAGGAAATCAAGAAAATTAAAAGACAACCCACTCAGTAGGAGAGCATATTTGCCAACACATCTAATAAGGAGTTAATATCCAAAATATATAAATAATTTATAAAACTCAACACCAAAAATACAAAATTAAAAAATAGGCAAAGGATCCGAATAGACACTTCTCTAAAGAAGATGTACAGATGGTCATTAAATATATGAAAGGATACTTGACATTACTAATCATCAGAAAAATGCAAATTAAAGCCACATTGGGCGACAAAATGGTGCTGGCTGCTCAGTCTTTTATCCCGCTTGCTTTTCTCTGGCCCTCTGCCCGGTGGAGCCGCCAGACTCCAGCCCGTGTGCAGCCAAGGTGAGGTTGTATTTGGCTGGACTTTGCTGCTTCTGTCACTGCCACCTCAGCTCAAAAATGGCCCCATTTCCTCGAGTCACTTGGGTCTCTGCATCCCCTGCTCAGCCCTCCTGGATTCTGCTCTCCCCACTTTCCTGCCTGTGCTGAGTGCAGCTGCAGCACTGAGGACCAGCCCCAGCAGTGCCAGAAAACCAAGATGCTCATTCTGCGTTTCTCCAACCCCATCAGCGGGGTTCTGACTCAAATTTAGACCTTTCTTGTCTGGACCTATTGCGATGAAGAGTTCAGCATCGCAGAATTCTCAGAGGGAGCAAAGCAGGCTTTAGTTCGTGTGTCCAAGTTGTTGTCACAGTGCAAATTTGATCGGCTGGAAGACCTTGTGACCAAAAGAGCTGCTGCATGTATTGAAAGAAAAAGTTACTTCACTACCTGACAACCATAAAAATGCTCTTGCTGCTGACATAGATGAAATTGTATACATCTCAACAGGAAATATCTCTATTTACTATGATGACAAAGGAAGGAAGTTTGTTAACATCCTGATGTGCTTTTGGTATCTAACCAGTGCCAACGTCCCCAGTGAAACTTAAGTGGAGCCGGTATGTTCCAGGTTAAGTTGGGAGATCAGAACATGGAAACTAAACAACTTCTTAGTGCAAGCTATTAATTTCAGAGGGAGTTTACACAAGGAGTGAAGCCTGACTGGACCAGTGCATGGATTGATCACTCAAAGTTACTAAAATAATCTTTCTTAGAAAAAATCAGCTTATTTTGGATTTTTTAGCCATTGCTGTGAAAAACTAAGGAAGAAAAGTTTTGGATCAGTTGATCTTCACTTAGTCTAATCTGTAAATTACTTTTATATTACTCTGAAATACTCTTTGTAGTATATTGGCGTGATATAATAAAGTATTTGCACTGATTGCCTATTGTTGGTGTCATATTCACTATCATCTCTAATGTTACATGTATGTGTATATACATACAAACTAATTTTATAGATAATAAAGAAGGTATTGAAAAAAACACAGTGGGCAAAAACAGTAATGTGCAAGGTGAAATACTTTTGGATAAACATAAGCCTATTTTTTGACCTTTCTTAATGCGAACTCTTTGCATTAAATGGTAGAATATTTAGAAATTTTCACAAAACGCAAAAAAATTAAAACGTTGTTTTGAAGGGTTAATGAATAGAAAGGTCTATTAGTATGTATATGTGTGTAACTGGCTACACACAGGCATATGTATATACCAGCTGACTCGATCTAGTACAGTAAATCACCCTGCAAGTTAACCCCCCATTGCAATGATTGCCTTAAGGTGTTTGCTAATTGTGTACATAGTGTGGTTAATCATTAGCTACACTGCTTCACACTTGATTGGAGCAGTGGAAAGTACACTATAGCTAACCAGCATCTGAAAGTGTGTATGTGACTTGTGTGTATGCAGAGGTGGTGTGGATGTGAGTGTGCATGAAGGGAAAAAAAACTGCTTCTCTCAGTAGGCCAAACGCTCAGGTTAAACAACTGACGAGTGTTAGTGTAGGTTTTTTGTGTTTTTTTCTGTCAAATTGCTACTTATATTGTGAAAGACAAAAGCATTTCCATTTCAACAGTTTGTCAGATTTGTTAGACAAAAATAGATATGTTATGAAAATGAAATGGACCTATAGTTTTGGGACAAAATTATAAAATTAAATATGTAGGTAATCTGTATACTGCTATAAAGTTTGTTTTAAGAGAGATCTGCAAAGAAGTTATTACCTACAAGAAATGTATATTTAAAGATTTTTTTTCTTTATCCTGGGTGCCAGAAATATAAAAAGAGCGGATATATTTAACCATAGCCTAATGTGATACATCAAACAACACAAACTTTTATTTAGTGGAGTTTATCATTTAGTGGAGTTTATCTGTTGACATTGGTTTAAACTATCACTTATTTTTATCATGTAGGAACATAAGTTATGTCAAAAATGTAAGGACTTTGAACTAATGTTGATTCAAGTTGTGTTGTCTTACTGTGTTCTCTTTTCAAAGTGCTGCCAATTAAAAAGAGAAGCATTGTGTTTACAAATCTGTTCTGAAATGTTTGCCAAAATTTTAGTAGTATCTTTAATAAAGATGTTTGTCTCCAGCATCCAAAAAAATAAACGCCCTGGATGGTTTGGCTCAGCGGTTAGAGCGTTGACCTGTGGTCTGGAGAGACCCGGGTTCGGTTCCCACTAAGGGCACGTACCTCAGTTGTAGTTTGTCCCCGGCCCTGGTTGGGTCATGTGGGTGGCAAGAACTCGATGTCTCTCTCTCACATCGATGTTTCTCTCTCTCTCTCTCCCTCCCACTCTATCTGAACAAAATATCAAAAAATGTCCTCAGGTGAGGATAAAAACAAAATAAATAAACTACTTTGTTTTATATCACTGTAAAAAAAACAAAAACAAACAACCACAGTGGGATATCACCTCACACCTGTGAGAATGGCTATCATCAATAAATCAACAAACAACAAGTGTTGGTGAGGATTTGGAGAAAAGGGAACCCTAGTGCACTGTTGGTGGGACTGCAGACTGGTGTAGCCACTGTGGAAAACACTATGGAGTTTCTTCAAAAAATTAAAAATAGAACTGCCTTATGATTCAGGCATTCTACTTCTGGGAATTTATCTGAATAAACCTGAACCACTAATTTAAAAGAATATATGCACCCCAATATTCATTGCAGTTGTATTTACAATAGTGAAGATTTGGAATCAGCCCAAGTGCTGATGTAGATGAGTGGATAAAAAAAGTTGTGGTATATTTACACAATGGAATACTACTAGGCCATAAAAAAGGAAATCTTACACTTTGGGACAGCATGGTTGGACCCAGAGATCATTTGAAATAAGCCAGTCAGAGAAAAACAAGTACTATATGATTTCACTCACATGTGGAATCTAGTGAACAAAATGACCTAACCAAAAAAATACAGACAGACTCATAGATATATCTATGAGAGCAGGCTGACAGCTGTCAGGGGGAAGTTGGGAGCACTAAGTGAGGGGGTTGGAGGGATTGAGCTAAAAAAGAAAAACAAGGAGGGAGGATTCTCATGGACACGGACAACAGTGTAGTGATTGCCTACAGAGAGGTGGAGGGAGGGTATGGGGGGATAAATGGTGATGGAAGAAGGAGACTGGACTTGGGGTGGTGAACACACAATACAGTGTACACATGATGTGTTGTGGAGTTGTGCACCTGAAACCTGTATAATTTTGTTAACCAGTGTCACCCCAATAAATTCAATAAAAAGGAAAACAATATAATAACAAATAATAATACAGGAATAAAAAACACAATAAAATACCATCTAACAAGTCATTACAGCCCAGCCAGTGTGGCTCAGTGGTTGAGTGTCAAGAGATCGCCAGTTCGATTCCCAGTCAAGGCACATGCCCGGATTGTGGACCAAATCCCCAGTGGGGGGCATGCAGAAGGCAGCCAATCTATGTTCTCTCTCATTGATGTTTCTCTCTCTCTCACCCTCTCCATTCCTCTCCCTCTAAAATCAGTAAAGAAAAAATAATTAAAATCAATTTAAAGTGTCATTACAGCAGTTATTTTTAAAAATCTATGAGTCTTAATAGTTTGCTCAGAAACTGATTTCATGGAGGTCCTAATGTTTTTGTTTGTTTGTTTGTTTTTATCATCCTCACCAGAGGACATTTTTCCATTTTTTGTTCAGGTAGAGTGGGAGGGAGAGAGAGGAAGAGAGAGAGAGAAACATCAATGTGAAAGGGACACATCGAGTGGTCGCCACCCGCACAACCAACCAGGGCCAGGGACAAACTGCAACCGAGGTACGTGCCCTTAGCGGGAACTGAACCCAGGTCTCTCTGGACCGCAGGCCGATGCTCTAACTGCTGAGCCAAACCAGCCAGGGCCTAATGTTTTTGTAAAAGTTTATTCAGTTTGGTTTAAAGCAAATTTTTAAGCTGTGTTCTTTAGCTTCGTTTTCCTATTATTTATTTAGTAAAAAGTAAAATAAATAAGAGATTACACTGCCCAGAAATGGAAGTAATAATTTACCTCTTTTTTTTTTTTAAGTATGTGCTTTACAAAAATCCCCCTTTTTTATTTGGCCTTAAAAAATATAAACAAAAATCTATTTCGGCAGCTCTCAAAAAAACTTCAATAAGATTTGAGTTTTAATATGGAAAAGCAGATACTGCTTCCCTAAGTCATTGCATCATTACGCTTCCTGAAATATAGGTAAAATCCAGTGGTAATAAGATAAGGAGACTTATATGACCAGCAGATCTTCAAGGAACTCCTATTTTCTCCCTTACCACAGAGATTCCAATACCAGGGTTGTAGAAAATAAATAAGCATCAAGGAAATTAATATAGAGACCCGAGTTGGCTTAGCTTTCGGGGATTGATGACTGGATATATCATGTTTCTAGTAAAGTAGAGCATTTACAAGTACACAAAAGTTTTCAAAGTTTTGGTTTGCCAACATGGCACCCTGGGTGGGAGCAGCTCCATTTTGGACCTAAAAAGTTATTTCAATAATGGTGACATGGTATTTCCAAATTTTTCTCTCTGAGGATAGAGCTTCTCAGCAGGCAAACATTTATGATTGCTTTGGCTTGAATTTCTTGATGAATTTCATGAAGTGAGAAATAACTTTTTTTTTTTTTTTTTTTTTTTAATCGTCCTCACCCGAGGACATTTTTCCATTTTTTGTTCAGATAGAGCGGGAGGGAGAGAGAGGAAGAGAGAGAGAGAGAAACATCGATGTGAAAGGGACACATCGAGTGGCCGCCACCCGCATGACCAACCAGGGCCGGGGACAAACTGCAACCGAGGTACGTGCCCTTAGCGGGAACCGAACCCGGGTCCCTCCGGACCGCAGGCCGATGCTCTAACCGCTGAGCCAAACCGGCCAGGGCAGAGAAATAACTTTTTGTTTTGTGTTATTAGTTAACCTTCCTTACTTAAAGTGGGGAGAAATGAATTTTGGTTGGCATGATTTAGTTAATACCCAAATTTTAAAAGTTTATTATGTACAATGAGTTAGTAGTCACCAAATGTTTTTTGTTGCTGTTGTTTATATGTCACCTTTGAATCTAGTTTGAGATTAATATTGATTAGATAGTGACCAAAAGTTTGCATTATTTTACCCTTATAGGAAAAAATTCAGTGACTTCCTCTCTTACTGGCTAATAGTGTAGTATTTAAATAGTGCACCCATAAAAAAGTATACATATACTGTAAATTTCCTCAATTTTTATTGGACCTATGATTTTAATTTTTAGCCATCTGAAATAGGTTTGAAATGCTGATTTTCATTTTCCATTGTAAGTTTTGATAGATTCATGGGCACAAAACTCATCACTCCCTGATTCTGGTTGCTCTGGCGGTAGGGCTGGCTGACTGAAGAGGTGAGACCCCAGGCTCATCATCTCCCATGGTCTCTCTTCAAGTGAACATTAGAATAGGAAAAGGTAGTTTATAGGTCTCCAGGTGACCAATTTGTTGCCTCCTGTTTTAGGACTGTCTCTTGCCTCTCTCTAACTCATTTTATAAAAGTTATAAACTGCCACTGTTTGAATAGACTTCTTGGTCCAATGAGTTGTGCCACACTTACACAGAGCATTGTGTTGGTCTTCACCCTCCTGGAGTGAAAATTTAGTAAGAATATAGGACACTGGTTTTCTTTGAGCTCATTCTAAAGTAAGCACAACAGGACTGTTAGATTCCTTTTTTTCCTCAAATCCACATTCTTGGTCTGGCATGGCATGAGTGTTTTCCTCCCTTTGGAAAGTCACTTCCTGTGGAGGTATTTACATACATTATGCATACAAATGTATTTAACATATAAAGTACTGTATCTATAAGAATTTACTTGCTTCTAGAAACTTTATCAAGTTTCAAAGGAAATAGTTACATCCTGAAAGACTATTAAACACAGTGGTAAGGAGTAAGAATATTAAAAGAGTATTAAACAGAATAAAGGCAGTCTCTAGATTTCCAGAATGTTTGTCACCTGTTGTCCCATTATATGTTCCCACTTGCTGGGAGCCTGGGTTAGTGATTAGACAATCACAAACCTTTACAAAGTGAATTTACTAACCTGTGGGGAAACACTCCTTTGAAAAACATTGAAGTGCTATCCAAAACACTACTTTGAAAAGATACATGCACCTCTGTGTTCATTGTGTCATTATTTACAATAGCTAAGATAGGGAAGCATGGTTGTCAGATGGGAAGGGGGTTGGGGGAATGGGTGAAAAAGGTTAAGGGATTAAGAAGAACAAATTGATTGCTAGACTGACAAACCTCAAAGAAAAGGGGGTTGGGGGGTGGGAAGAAATAAACCAAAGAACTTATATGCATAACCAATTGACACAGACAACAATGTGGGAAAAGGCGGGAGGGGGATAGGAGTGGGGAGGAGGGGGTCAATGGGGAGAAAAATGAGAAACATCTGTAATACATTCAACAATAAAGATTAAAAAAAAAAAAAAAGATATGGAAGCAACCTAAGTACCCATCAGTAGATGATTGGGTAAAGATGATGTGGTACATATATGGTGGAGCAAAAGTAGGTTCACAGTTGTGAATAGTCAATATACAGAGTTTATTCTTGTATTATTAATTATTGTAGTATTTTCCATATGAACAACTGTTATCCTACTTTTGCCCCACTTTGTGTATACAACGGAGTATTACTTGCCCATAAAAAAGAATGAAATCTTACCATTGCGACAAAATGGATGCACCTAGAGAGTATTATGCTAAGTGAAATAAGTCAGAAAAAGATAAATACGATATGATATTACTTATATGTGGAAACTAAAGAAGTAAATGAACAAAGAAAACAGAAACAGATTCATAGATATAGAGAACAAACTGATAGTTGCCAGATGGGAGAGGGGTTGGAGGACTAGGTAAAAAAAGTGAAGTGAGCCCTGGCCGGTTTGGCTCAGCGGTTAGAGCGTCGGCCTGCGGTCCTCAGAGACCCGGGTTCAGTTCCTGCTAAGGGCGCGTACCTCGGTTGCAGTTTGTCCCCGGCCCTGGTTGGTCGTGCGGGTGGCAACCACTCGATGTGTTCCTTTCACATCGATGTTTCTCTCTCTCTCTCTCTGTTCCTCTCTCTCCCTCCCACTCTACCTGAACAAAAAATGGAAAAATGTCCTTGGGTGAGGATTAAAAAATAATAATAACAAAAAAAAAAAAAAAAAGAAGTGATTAAGAAGTACAAATTGCCCTGGCCAGTTTGGCTCAGCGGTTAGAGCGTCGGCCTGCGGTCCCGAGAGACCTGGGTTCGGTTCCCGCTAAGGGCACGTACTTCGGTTGCAGTTTGTCCCCGGCCCTGGTTGGTCGTGTGGGTGGCAGCCACTCGATGTGTCCCTTCACGTCGATGTTTCTCTCTCTCTCTCCTTCCTCTCTCTCCCTCCCACTCTATCTGTACAAAAAATGGAAAAATATCCTCGGGTGAGGATAAAGAAAAAAAAAAAGAAGTACAAATTGATAAAGAATAGTCATAGAGATGTAAAGCACATTATAGAGAATATAGTCAATAATGTTGTAATACCTATGTATGGTGCCAAGTGTATACTAGTCTTATTGGGGAATCACTTCATAAATTGTATAAATGTCTAACCACTATGTTGTACACCTGAAACTAATATAATATTGAATGTGAACTGTAATTGAAAAATTAAAAAAGAAAAAGATTCAAGTGCTGTATTAAAGTGCACCTGCTCAAACTATTTTTTTCTCCTACTTATTGGGCTGATAGGTGTCTAGTCACCTAAACTAAACCTCAGCACTCAAAATTCTTCCTTCTAACATCCTACTAGGAAATTTTATCTCTCACAACTAGGAAGAGTAGACTGATTATTTGTTTATTTAATTTTTTTTTTTTTTAGATTATACATCCAAAAACTGATGATCAAAGAAATAGATTGCAAGAGGCTTGCAAAGACATCCTGCTATTTAAGAACCTGGATCCGGTAAGATAAATTTCAATAATAGAAATGATGTTTTTTAGTATCAGTGTGAAGAACTGTGCAAGGTCTTAGATTTCATTCTCTTTACAAGGTAACATCACCTGGGTGATGTCAAGACTCCAACATGGATGCTTGTACATGCAGTGTTTTATATGAGGAGCACTTGGGAGGTCCACTGCTGTTAGAACAAAGAGTGTAAGCAGGTCTGCTGTTTGTCTGGGGGAAGACATTATCTCATCCCTCAAAGTTACTGACTAAAAACATAGCCCAGAGAAATGGCCCAGCTGGGGAGAAGTTAGGACCTTGCATTCTTTGTATACCCAGCTGGAACATGCAGGGATGTGCAGGGCATAGTTGGTAATAGTAACTATATTCTAATGTATAACTCTTATACATATTTTAAAAGGAACATTTTACTTGGCTTTAAAGGTAGGGGGATATTTTTGTTCTTTGTAAGGATTTTGAGATCTCTATTCTTTGGTTTTGGGTGTATTTCTAGAATACCCTCCCTCAGTATGAGTGAGCATGCTGCTCAGGTTCTGCCCTGTTCTGCTTCTATCATCACAGTTTATACTTGCTCTGGGGGGTTTCTTTTTGTTTGCTTTCTAGTTCTTTAAGTTGTGAGGATAGATAGTCTATTAGAAATTTTTCTTGTTCTTGATGTAGTGCTATGAACTTCCCTCTCAGAACTGCTTTCACTGCATCCCATAGATTTTGTGTTGTTTATTTTCATGAATTTTTTAATTTCTTCCTTGATCTCCATGGTAACCCATTCATTGTTCAATAACATGCTTTTTAGCCTCCATGTTTTCAAATGTCTTTGCATATTCTTTTTTGCAATTGATTTCTAGTTTCATGCCATTGTGATCTGAGAAGATGCTTGACATGATTTTAATCTTCTTGAACTTGTAGAGACTCAGTTTGTGCCCTAACATGTGGTCTATCTTTGAGACTGTCCCATGTGCACTTGAGAAGAATGTGAATTCTGCAGTTTTGGGGTGTAATTCTCTATAGATATCTATTAAATCCATTTGGAATAGTGCTTCATTTAGAGTCTCTGTTTTCTTGCTAATTTTTTGTCTAGAGGATCTATCTATGTCGGCGGGATGTTGAAGTCCCCTGCTATGATTGTATTGCTGTCAATTTCTCCTTTGAAGTCCTTCAGAAGATTTTTAATATATGTTGGTGCTCCTATATTGGGTACATATATGTTTACCAAGGTTATATCTTCCTGTTGGATAAATGCTTTCAATATTATGTAGTGGCCTTCTTTGTCTCTGGTTATGGCCTTCATTTTGAAATCTACTTTATCAGATATGAGTATTGCTACTCCAGCTTTTTGTTCCTTTCCATTTGCTTGAAAGATTTTTTTCCATCCCTTCACTTTCAACCTATTCATCACAGTTAATGCTTATTTGTTGCCATATGGTTATTTGGGAAAGAACCCCTGCTGCCGTGTTCCAAATGTGAAAACTGAGTCAACTTTTGTGACTTACCTCAACTTCTTTTGGTCAAACTCAACATCCTAGTTTTCAGATTGATGGCTTAGAGAAGAAAGCTTTAAATCTAGACCCACTCTTTTAAAGGTGAGGTTTTCTTTAAAAGAACATTTTTATGAAAATAAAGGTACTGCATTATGCCAAGTCTTCTACACTGGGTCTTATTACAGATTGAAATACTTATGTTTATATCATGTTCTCCAGGAATATGCATTACATTTTGTGACTTTGGAGATCTTGTCTTAGTACCACACATTACAGGTTTTGTCCAGTTTGATCCAGGTCCTCCAGAATTATCCCTGAGTTTGCAAAATTAGCTATGAAGAATGGGATTGTTGGTTATGCTCTCTAATAATGGAAGACTAAGAAATGGAAGTAAGATAGAAAATTTAAGAATTTAGTTTAGCCCTGGCCAGGTGGCTCAGTTGGTTGGAGTGTCATCTCATACACCAAAAGGTTGTGGAATTCATTCCCGGTCAGGGGACATACCTAGGTTGCAGGTTCAATCCCTGGTAGACAGCATGCAGGAGGCAGCTGATTGATATTTTGCTCTCACATTGATGTTTCTCTCTATATAAAAATCTATTAAAAATAAATAAATAAATGAAATCAATAAAAACATAATCTCTGGTGAGGATTAAAAACATAATTTAGTTTGCAAATGGAAAAATTTTCTTGTAGTATTAAATGATGGAATAAGTGATTTAAGGGAATTTGAAATATTAATGGACTTCTAAATAATCCCAGATCTCATTTAGCTAGATAGTAATGATTCTGTGAAATAAAGAACACTAAACTATATGATCTCTTATGATCTCCTACTAGTATGAGTCCAAATTATTAGTATAAAGATACAACTTTATATATGTATATAAGATAATTTTGGTAATGAAATTAAAGTAATTTAGAATTTAACTCTTGCTTTAGATACATACAGAAGACAGCTATAAAAGTAATTCTTGCTCTGGCTGGTTTGGCTTAGCAGTTAGAGCATCAGCCCAGGATCAGTGAGTTGTGGGTTCGATACCGGTTAAGGGCTTATGCCTCGGGTGCGGTTTGTCCCCGGCCCTGGCTGGGGTCGTGCAAGAGGCAACCAGTCGATGTGTCTCTCTCACATAGATGTTTCTCTCTCTCTCTCCCTACCTCCCACTGTATCTGAAAATAAATAGAAAATTATCCTCAGGTGAGGATTAATAAAAAAACGAAAAAGTAATCCTTAGTTTTACCCTTAGGTGTAGGTTTCAACCTAGGAGATTCTCTATTTTTCAACTAGTACTTTATTTTGGAGAATTTCAGAGGTCACCAAAAAGACTGATTTTCATGCTTTAATGTGCCTGTATATCACCAGAGGATGTTGTTTAAAATGCAGATTCTGGTTCCATAGGTCTGTAGTGGAGCCTGAGAGTCTGCTTTTCTCACAAGCTCTCTGGTGATTTTGATGCTCCTGCCCCACAGCCATACTTTCAATAAAAAGGAGTAGAACCAGACATGAAAATTCTCTAGCTCAGTTTTTTTGGTACCACCATATTTTATTTTGTTTGCATGTATCTTTATGAAATTGAACCAGTATTTTAATGCTTCAGCAGTGACTAAACAGTGATATTCTGGTATCTATACACTAAGTGAACAAACAGACATGGGTGAAGTAGCTGGCACTTATACTTTCTTGAGATGTTGCCTATGCTATCTAGTCCATCCTCTAAATCAAATGTATTTTTCTTGCCATTTCAACTTTAACTCTTTTAAAGCACTGTAAATATTTTAGTTCTATTTATTTCTCTCCTTTTTATTGAATTTATTGGGGTGACGCTTGTTAACAAAATTATACAAGTTTCAAGTGCACAATTCTACAACACATCATCTGTACACTGTGTTGTGTGTTCACCACCCCAAGTCAAGTCTCCTTCCATCATCATTTATGCTTCCTATATTTTGGTTACATTTAAAGTAGTTTTTAAAAACTTGCTAGTATATTCTGACAAGGAGCATCTATGCTTAAAGTGGTTATTTTTATAAACATAGGAATTTTTTTAGACCTTATTTTGCTGCTTTGTTGAAGGTCTTCATTATATATATTTTAAAGCTCTTCAATAGATATTTTTTCTTAACAACGAAAAAGCCAGTTCATGAAACTACTAATTCACAGATTATCATTATGGAATGTTTTATAGGGAAAAAGCAAATGCTATTTACATAGTTGTTTCCAAGAGATCTTTTATTGATTTTGAGCTCAAACCATCTTGACTTATTTCTCCACTACTTTATTTTCTCGTCTAGGAAAGCTGCAGAATATAAATAAGTAAAAGTTAACTTTTCTCAGCAAATTACCACCTGTAATAAGAAATTTATCCTTAAACATCACAGATTGAAGATTTTAGGTTAAGCTCATATTTCAAGTTGCTTTCTAGTTTTTTATGGTGTACATTTTTTAACGATAATCCAAATGCATTTAAATTGAATTACATGTTCAACTCCTATAATCTGCTTATTATGCAGCTGCTCTTTTCAGTTCAATTCCTTGACTACCCAGTATGTTCCAAGGCCTGTTTAAAGTGTTGGAGGACACAGAAATACTTAGACATGGTTCTTGTCCTCTTGGAACTTAAATTTGATGAGGGATTCAAATATATATACAAAGCAATTGGGTAAAACATGATAAATCCTGTAATATGGTCAGGGCACTAAGAGAGAATGAGAGTCTCTTAACCCCACCTGATAATTCAGGAGCCTGGAGAGACCACTTCAGAAAATGAATAGGAAACTGCCAGTTGAAAAAAAGTACAGTGTTATCACTAGAACCTAAAGTGGAAGACATTCAGTGGCGGGAGCTAAGATCATACTTGAATGCCTCGCTGTAGCATGGGACACATACTGTACACAGTGGGTAGGCACAACTGAAACATCAGATGTATCTAAAGTGACTGTGGTGGCAATGTAGAGGGTTGAGTTAAAGACTGCAGAGTGACAGGGCAAGAACAAAGGAATGGAGCTCAGTGGGGAAACAATGTCATGATCCAGGGAAGAGAAATGGGCCCAACTAGGGAAGAGGAAAAAGGGATGGCTTCACAAAACATTCAGGATTAGCAGAAGTTGGTACTTGGTGATTGAATGAATTGGGACCTGACAGAAATAGTCTAGGATGACTCCCAGTGTCTAGCAGGAATGAATATGAAGGTGGTACCATTTCCTGAAATGGGAAAACTTGAAGGAGGAACAAGAAGCAGTAATTACTGACTAGAAAGAACAATCTTGGCTTTGTGTCTACTGTCTCATTTGAATTTTCTTAAGTCATTGTTTATCCTGAAAATTTTGTACCTCCTAGGCCTCAGAAAATACTTCCTTGGAGTGCTGTATATTCATGCACTGAGCACAGCATTTATAATTATTCTCTTTGAAGATATTCTTTTCATGAATATTTTAATGCTCAACTCAGTAGGCCATTTTTCTTCTGAAATATTTTTAATATGAGGCAAACTGAAATAATTTTCCTAAGCTATAGGATAG